CTTATCTTATCCTATCTTATCTTCGGTTACAAAGAAATCTTCTTTCCTCCAAGACCTGGAACATGAAGAAGGATAAATTCACGTCCTTGTTCTCTAAGTGCCTTCCTCTTCAGTTTAGGAGGCAATAAGTACAGTAATTATTACAAGGTCCGATGGTCTTCCTTAGCTTATTTTATTGTAAAGTGTGTCAGAACAGGGAGTGAATTTCTATTGACAGGTAGTACCAATACTCTTAGTTTCTTCAGTCTACCAAATTGGAGATACAATTAGGGGTCGCCCTGACAAGGCACTGCTAGAAAAACGTCGATTTAACTGATTTCTTTCACTAAGTGTAGTTAACAGTTTATAAACTCATGTATGACTTCCTCAGAATTTCAGTTTCTCTAAAGTACATTATGCAAAGATGCGCTCTGGCTTAATTGATCTGATGCAGATTTGAACGCATTCTTTATGCGTGTAAACTCGTTCAAGCTATAAACTGCTCTGGTTACATTGCCTTCGTCTGTCGGGTCAGCCAGTCTGATGTAAGGTCCACTCCAAATCCTTCCGCGTCGTGTTGGTTGAGTACCGCCCATGCGAACAGAAATAGTTCTGTCCCAGCCGAAAGTAGTATAGTACTTGAAAAACCCCATCAACAGCTCGCCAAGACTTTGCGTGTTGTTAGACTTGTATGATTGAACTTGGGGAGGTAGGTCGTCGGTGAGTTCTGTCACAACAGTGGTTTTTGGGGAGCGGAACAGCTCTGGGAAGTTTTTTTGTAGCGCGGGCAGAACCGCTGGGGAACATCCGGCTTGGAGGTAATGAATGACAAGTAAAACTAAGGCAAAACCTTTCGAAAAAAATGAAAAGATAAAACATTCATACTTAGCAAACTTAATTATTGTCAAACTTCAAGAACAAGAAAGTGGAGTGGGGCACAAGGGATGCAAAAATTAAAAATCTACCAAAAAAGTTTATTAAGATATTTTGCTGGCTTATTAGTTATGGTTGTCAGACGAGTACCCTGCTAAATGCTTGTGGTCAATGGAACGCTTTATCACAAATCTGTGAGATTGCGACAAGAAATTTACTTTCATAGACGTTTACGGCCAAGAACTATGCAAGCATGAAGTTCAAAACACCGCTTTCAGAGCGATTAACCCGTGATCAGTAGTAGAGAAACTAAAATAGGTGTGGAGGGAGGGAGCGAAGTGAACATGGTTTCTTCCTTGAAAGAAAAAAGGGAAACCCCGGAATAAGAGTGGACTTGTGAAGAGGTCCCACAGATTTCACGAAATCTCATAATCTTACGTCATTTTCATTTGCTAACCCCAACGCTTAGCTACATGTGTGAACCCTGAAGTGTTGAGAACATTCTCTTTCAAAGTTGTCACTAACATGTAGCTTATTGAATCATTTTCTTGCTCAAGAAAACTAAATAATGCTTGCCGTTCGATGCAATTAAAAAAAAACCCTTAAGCATTACTGTACCAGAAAGCCGATGTAATTTTGCGTCAGTGATCTCAGCCTTTTGAGCCCACAGTTTGATGGTTATAACCAGCGGTTTCACTCTCGGGTCACACTCGGAGTAGCATTTTAAAAGGAAGGCGTTACGCACGTTGGCCCAGTTCTCCACACTGATATCGGTTTCAAACGACTTTTCCTTGTCTTTGAGTTTGATGATAGGAACTCTTGCATCAGATACCACCTGAAAATGTTTACACAGGAAAAAATTAGTGCCTGGTGACGCTATAGTTCACCGACCTTTGAACTCAGTTTCCCTTCCGGCTGAAGAGCTGACCAATATTATGTTACGTTCACGTCAAGTCATTTTCAGTGAAGGTAAATTGATTTTAAAGGCAGGTGAACTACGGCGTCGCTAGACACTCTTGTCCTGACGATGACATAACGTCGAAAACGTTTCTTTTCTTTTTTTTTTTGTTAACTTTTTAAAACAATTTTAGCCTTGTTGAAATTAGTTAAAAACTTCAGGCGAATATTATAGGCACAATCATTTATTGAATGTTCAAAATCCTTTCAAGAAAATCAGCCAAAAACGGTTGCGATTGAGACAGGTTGAACGCAATAGCACATGACTGCGGAAGGTTGATAATTAGTCATTATTATTATTATTATTATTATTATTATTNATATACTTATTAACGTTTTCTTGTTTTGCAGGATTCATTTGGAGAATCTTTCGAGGTAAGCTTTCTTGATTCTTGTTTCTTCTATTATTTTTTTTTTCTTTTAGGCAAACGTGGTGGGGTGGAGTAGACGGAGCATTTTAGCGGGAAAATGGAGTTTAAAGTTGCAGCATTTTAATGGGGAAGCAGACACAAGATTAGTTTAAAAATTCGCTTCAGTGTAACGTTATTGTCATTATATATATTGGCTAGTCAGAAAATCAGTAACCTACTTTCAGTTTTGTCGCAAAAGCATCACGTTACTGTTGCAAAAACTGCATTTTTCTGGATCGTCGACCAAATTTAAGGGGAACTTCCAAAGTGCTACTGTTTCTTCAGCATTAGGCTTCCTGAACTTAGCTGAAGAATATTGAATAACTGGCACAAGTTCCTCCGCAAGCATTGTGAACAAATAACTCATGATAACTGTCTTATGACCATTTCTGTTAATAAGGACTGCTTACTCCGGGATAGTTATATTAAAAAATATAATTAACAAACAAATAATAGTCATAACATATTTAATTCTGTGTCACGTCATAGCAAAGAGAAGGGAAATCCACTGTAATATATATATAAAGCACTTGCCGAAGTGACCGGCTCCAGAATTTTTTTTCAGTCTTAGGTCCGGGTCGTACTAGAACCAATTTTGTCAATAAGTAGGGCAAAATAAGTGCGACCCCCAGTTTCAAAAACTTGCCAAGTTTTTGCGGATTGCCAAAATTTCGCCAATCTTCAAAGAAGCCGAAGTGCTGCCTCGGAGGCTTCCAAATTTTGGCAAAGCAAACAATTTTGTCTTTTTAACCATTTGACTGTCTTATTTTTTAAAACAAGTCTGGATTAAATTACGGCGAGAAAACAACTTTGACTGCTCGGGCTCGTCCAGTTTGGCGCGTGCGATGGCAGGAGAAAATCATATTTTACCCGGTCCATCTGACGCTTTTTACAAGTTATTTCAATGCAAACGAGGAATATGAGCTGCGTTTTTATTCATATTCTTATGATCCGTACCCTGGATCCGGTTACTATCAGCAATTTGAAGAGATGGCTTCAGCGAGCCAATCTTCTTCGAGCGCAAGTGGCGCAAGCAACAACACAAACGCAAGTCGAGCAAAATCTGCTCGTCTACTTAATGGGCCGAAAATCACGAGTTGCTGTAGAGCGGAGAGTCAAGAACATGCAGCGTTGAGAAAAATCTGCGACGGAAGAGTTAAACTCTTGCACGGAATCTAATAAAATACTTAATTGAGAATATAGATCTTGTGACGTATATTTCAATCAGTAACGTTTTGGTTCCAACATGTTGATCTAATGCGACCACTACCAAAATTTGGTACTTGCGAATTTTTGCCAATTTTTTTCCTCGCCAAAAATTGAAAATGTTTGAATTCGCTCTAGTGCAACCCGGCCCTATATCAGAGTTTCCCATGAAAAGCGAGTTTTATCGCTGCAAGGAGTTTTGTTTTCTCCGCTTGGCCAATGATGAATGACAATTTTTGTTGAGTCCGTTTTTATAGCACTGTGGAAAGATCACAAAAAACCTTTTGGTGAAGACTCACTTCTCCAAAACGTTTGCTCGTGACTGATATCAATTGAATCGGTCATGATATGGTTATGTTATACCCTCGAAATCTAGTTTATGCGATGCAAGGTAACCGGGTTGGGTAGTCAGGTTTTGAAAGTGAAATTTGCAATTATCATAAGTTTACCTTTGTTTCAAAGCGCCGAGGCTTGCGTGTGAAAAGCGACTCAATTCTCCTCAACATGTATGGTCCCGCACTCGCTCCCCCTTCACCAACACTCAGCACTAAATCAATGTCGCTATCGATACTTCCAAATCCATTTGCAGAAGATCCGCAGAGAACAAGGCGACAGTTCGGGTAAAGTTCTTGAATAATCAGCTCCATTTCTACCCGCCATGCGTCCTTCTGATCATAAATTTTCTGCGTTTGTTGATTTGCTAGGAATTTCTCTTGAATCTGGGAGCTTAGTTGGGTGTAGCGATCAGTCTTCTCATCCGCCATATCTGTGACAATTTCCACCTTTAAAGATGTGTTGTGTCCGGGGTAAGATTCGTTCCTCCGTTAGACTTTAAATTATTAATGTGCATCTTTCAAGAATTTCAATTTTTTTCTAGGAAAACGAGCTTCTAGTGTCAATAGTCAAATTCCTAGAAATCGACAATCGAGCAAGAACCGTATGATTGGTTCGTTTATTTACGTGTAATTTCTGTCGTTAATTATCCTGCGGGCAGATGTTTTCCTATTTCCGTTTTTCAAATGCTTTAAATGTGACTTATAAATTAGATGTATAAGTCTTACAGTTACCATTATTCTTGAGTTAGTAACTACTTGATCAGGACTGAGACAGTGCTCACGCAGACGTTATGACCAATTTTCGGCAGCTCGGATCCCGGCATAAGATTATCCTATTCAATATTGACCCAACCTTCAGTCAACTCAGAGCTGACTGGTTTGTAGAGGTTCTGCGCTTTTTAGCCAGGGATGGTTTTTCTAATCTCACACAAATCTGTTGGATGAATACATTGAAAACCACCTTGCCTTGCACTGTCTTGTATGGCTTTCTCTCAGGCCTTCGCGGTCAATTGATCTCGGTATATATCCAAGACAAACCTCCGGCAGCACATTCGAAAATGATTGACCGAGGCGTAAAATCGAGGCTTAGGAACTAGACGAAAAACCATCCACGTGAACCCTTTTCCTCAGTACACAGTGTTATTAACTAGAGTTGCACTGGCCAAAATAGCACATCAATCATAACATGAACTGTATATATTGCAGATAAGTATTACCTTATCTTAGTTTATTAGCTCCTGAGAATAATATAACGCTTACAGTACAATGAGTTATATTGCTGAGTAGAGCAGAGCTCTGAACAATCCCTTCTGAGGTTTTCAAGAAGGGCTCCTGTTAGAAACGTCGAAATAATTACAAAATATATTTATACTACACCAGGTATGGTGATTTTAAGGTGTGTATATTACATGCTGTTAGCGTGATGTGTATTGATTAAAAAGACTCCCTTTTTACTTCCATTTTAATTCACAGTAAAGCATTCCCTTGTTTTCTTCCTAGGAGTGATTTAAAGCCCTTGATAGCAAGCCTGGAAGGCTTTTCCAGATCTGAGACACGTTACCTTCTACTGTAGAATTTACTAGTATTGTAATTTATTATTCATTATTTTGCCGTTTCTTGGTAGAGTTGATAATTTCTTCAATGAATCGATTGGTCCGTAAAACCTATGTCAGTATAGTCTGGTGATTTTCTCTGTATATGTATAAGGATATGTTCTAGCCTTGGACGTCATTCTCTTAAGGCTATTTTATACTGATTTTCATGAAAAGGTTGAATTTATATCGTTTCACGTCTAGAAATTTCTTTGATCCTACATGTTAAAGATCACGATCGTTCAAATTTTGAATTGTTTCAAATTCTCTTTTCCGTTTCGATAGAAGCGCCAGTTTATTAATATCTATAATCATGGAAAAAAGTATTGGAGACATTGCCGGAAGAAAATCCTCTCCCTTTAAGTGTAATTTGTCCTATTTCACTTTCTATTTCCTCATACTTCGCCCCAATCTCGTACTTCCAATGTTGCAATCACGTGGTCTCGCCTACGAAGCGTGTTTCAACATTGATTGGGGTGCGGGGAGGGGGAGGCGGGCAGAATTTTTTAGGGTGGCGATCGATAATATGTCAACAATTTTGAACCCACTTGTAATGAGTCTTCCTAGCCGGGGAGGCGGCCAAAATAATTTAATCACATATCAACAGAAATTGTCCAATTCAGTAATGTCTATATACCGTGGTGCGAGATTCATTGTCTTGAGGTCATTTTGTCAAAGAATACTTTCTAAAGAAGCATTTCCATTTAAATTCCTGGACGCGAGCTTGAAGGCGTTTTTAATGCGTCTAGCTTCGTATTCGTCGAACACAGCTCTGGTGACATTCCCGGCTGTATCAGTGGGGTCCTCGATTCTGATCTTCGGTCCCCGCCAAACCCTGGAATACATCATATTGTCCAAAGTAGTTCCCGTACGAATAGAAATGATGTCAGCCCATTGAAAATCAGAATAATACCGAAAAAACGCGATCAACAGCTCACCAAGACTTTGCTTGTTAGCCGACTTATATTCCTTAACTTGAATAGGAATCTCTCCAGTCAGCTGGTCCAGTACTTCAGTATTCGACGAGCGGAAGAGTTCTGGGAAGTCTTTCTGCAGGACTGGAACGACCGGTGGGGAACACCCGGCTTGGAGGAAGTGGATTACCATCAGAACTACAGCGAACCCTATGCAAAAGTGTAAATAAATTCCAATTGAAGATTGTTGGTCGAACCAAGCATGTTTTAAATGTGTTTTAAATTGTTCAATCAATTCATTACGTTCTATTAGACTCCTATTGAGCTAACAATCCTTGCCCTTACTATGCACTCGGTTTAGACTCCCCAAAGCTAAGTAACGGAATTAAACACAGAATTCTACTCTAGCGTTAAAAGACTTGCAGATCGACGATCGCGAGTTTAACAACATGGAAATGTACCTTAAACAAACCCGCATATAGAACTCGGAACCTATAGCTAACAGAAATCAAATTAATATCCTTGCTCGCCATACTATGCAATGGCTTAAGGAACTTACTGTAAAAAGGTTTACCTGGAAGCCTCTTTAACTTTGCACCAACGATTGCAGCCTTTTGAGCCCATAGTTTGATCACAATGACCAGTGGTTTCACTCTTGGGTCGCACTCGGAGTAGCACTTTAAAAGGAAGGCGTTTCGTGCACTGTTCCAGTTTTGTACGGTGATATCACTTTGAAAAGACTTCTCCTTATCGTTGAGTGTGATTATGGGAACGTTAGCATTCGGTATAACCTGAAATTAGTTTAGGGACATAGTGTTCTGTAAGATATAGGCGACTTACTTATCTGGGCCGGGTTGTTCAAAGCCCGATTAAGCTAACCCAGGATTAGCGAGAGTTTTGATTTCATATTTGTAACTTTTCGGTGACGTTTCCGGTTTATATTGTTTGTTTTCCAGTCTTGAGTTTGAATAACGTTACACTTCACATACCATAGCAGTTTAAAACTTTTTTTTTACAAGAAAAATCAACACTTCGTTGAACTTTTAATCCTGGGTTAGCGTTAACCGGCTTTCGAACAACCCGGTCCTGACGAATTGTCAAAGAGTTTTCCTCAAAGTGGGAACTTAGTCGGAGTCACAATTTTAAAGCTCCCCCAACCCTCCCCTCCCCGTACCGCTCTAATGCGCTCACTCTACGTGATTGACAATTGAGAAGTAGTCATGCGAATGTTGTAGAGGTAAACAATTATGAGTCTGGGAATTAATTGATAAAATGATGTCTCTTTTCCAAAAAAAAAAAAAAAAAAAAAAAACGTCTCAAGGAGTCAGAATTTCGCCAAGTTTCGAGCTAATAAGTGGAAAAGATCTTGATAATTGGAGTAAAAATCAATCAGTTTATCCCAATTATTATATTATGGTTAAAGCCTAGTTCACACTAGCGACATAACGACATAACGACATCGTCATGACCGACATAAAAAGGACGTTATCTCGACGTAAAAAGGACGTTATGTTTGTAGTGTGAACATGTAGACATATGACACATTAGCAACATACCCGCCAGCATGAACATAACGACATAAAGATAAAACTGATCTTTTCATTATGTCATTATGTCGTTATGTCGCTAGTGTGAACCAGGCTTAGTACAGTTTATTGTTGGTTAAGAATAATTTGCGCTCCCTATAAAAACGTTCGCATGGGAATTTCGCGATTTTTGACTTGACTTGTCATCGGCAAACTTTCCGGAAACCCACTGGGTCTTTGTCACCCCTGCGAGCATCTTTTATCTCATTTTTGAGCAAAGCATATGTACCGTAAGAAACGGCTCTGCTTGCAGGGTGGGTCTTCGTATTTTTCGCTGCAACAAGTTTGATTATTTCAGGCCTTGACTTTTGCAGCCAACACGGAAAAGCTCTAACCTGAGTTATAACAACCAGCTAGTTGCGTAACATCGCGTTTTTCATAAAATAATCGTCTGATCGAAACTAGGACAACAATAAAACTCTACAATAAAAGATATATGTCAAATACCTCTGTTTCAAAACGACGAGGTTTGCGAGTGAAAAGCGACTCGATTCTCCTTAACATGTCGCCAGTTCTGACAAATCTAGTCTCGGTGCCTGGCACCAAATCCATGTCGATATCACTGTCAATACTTCCAAACCCGTTTGCTGAAGAACCGCACAAAACAAGGCGACAAGTAGGGTAAAGTTCCTGGATAATGAGTTCCATTTCCACTCGCCATGAATCCTTCTGATCATAAATTTTCTGAGTCTGCTGCAACGCTAAAAACTTCGCTTGAATCTGAGAGCTAAGAAGAGGGTATAAGCCCGCCGTTTGTTCACTCGCCATGTCGAATAAAACCGAGCACAAATCGGCAATGATTCGATTTAAATTAAACCACGTTCAAATTCATACAAGAAAGTAGTTCGCACTGAACTGAGTAACTTAATAGACCATCACAATAATGACAAGTCCAATCAAGCTCTTCCTTGTACCATTTTCTGGGAAAAACGCACTTCCGTATAAACAGTTGAATTCCTAGAAATGTTATGAATATTACGGTAGAATGCGATTGGTTGTTTGTCTAGGTTTACATCACTGCGTTGTTTTAAAAGTAAATAATGTTACAGCAAGCAAAGGCAGATTTTTTTATCAGACGGTTTGCAGTCAGTTCAGGTGGCTAAAAAGTACGGGGCGAGGGTATTGAGGCGAGGGAATTTTTTGGCTGGATTTATCATGACTACAGACGGATTGTCCGTCTGGGATGAACTTGGGCAACGACCGATAGTTTGTCCGATAATTCGTCTGTGTATAAATACGGGCAAACAGACAGATCATCCGTAGACGGATTATCAACGAAAGTTCGTGGGTCAAGGCGAACCATCACGGTGATTCGTTTAACAATCGTCGGTCGCTAAGAAAAAAAGGCAGGCTGCAAAAATTCTAATTGTTTTTATTATTATTATTATTATTATTAATAATAATAATAATAACAATAATAATAATAATAATAATAATAATAATAATAATAATAATAATAATATATATTTGATGTCACTTCGACAGTCTGAAAAGATGTGAAATCAGGTTTACTGCAAAGGACCACAAAACATATGCCCCCGGCTCAGGGACTCTTGATTGACGGCTGGGGAGGATTGGGCCGAATGTGCGTGACATGCAGGTCGCTCACGCCGGGCACAAACACTAATTGAACTGTGATTGATTGAACAGCTAGCTTTAGTCCGCTCTGCGAAAGCCAACATGACCGAAGAAAGGGTATCTTCTCTACCAATAGAACCACAAGTTGATGTGGAAGGTACAGGATCAGATGCAGAACTCGAAAGAGGGGGAAAACAAGCGAAATTTGACGAGGAAGACAGTGATAATGACTCGACAATCAGCAGTTCCAACTCGAATTCAACCCAAGCAACGGTGGGAAAGCGAGGATTTCGTGGCAAAGGCAGGAAGAAAAAAAGTTTAGCTTTCAGATGCGTCAATTTTCTCAAGGTAACATGTTTTCATGTGTTGTTTTTTCAGTTAATTACTGGTATAATTCTTGTCATTTTTTCGGAGTGTTTTCTCACGTGAATGAATTTTGGCTTTTGTTTCCCGCGTTTTACGCTTGCAACACGTGCTTTGTGATTCGTGAATGGAAACTTCGAAAATAGGCATTCGTTACCATTTTGTTTTAAGGAAAAGGGTGGAAAAGAATTTTAGTTGGTTGCTATGAGATCTTGTCCAAGATGACAATTTTTTGAGCAATAGACATTTGACAGTTTTCCCGCATTAAGCCCGTGATAGTTGCTGGTCAGTTCACTTGCCAAGTAACAACAAGAGTATCAGAGGAGCGAAGTACAACAATTTGAACAAATAAAACAGTCCATATTTTGGCTCTCAAACCACAGAAACACTGTAACAGTGACCCATTGCCTATCTCCAGAATTTGTGACACTCTGCCTAGCACAGGCAGCGGCCTTATTGGTGATAATTTTAAAGCCTGAGTGAAGGGCTAAAAATCGGTTTTGGGTTCCCACCTTAATTTAATTCCTGAAGGGCCAGAAAGATGTGGGGCAAGCATGATAAGTGAATCAGTTTGGCAAAAATTATTGAGAGCCAGATTTTTGATTGGTTGGTCTGATTCTATATATTCAGAAACTCCTTTAGGAGGGAGGAGGTGGATTGGGTGGGTAAGCACTCTCCCTCTCCCCCTCCCCCATTTTGAAGAAGCAACAAATAATAAAGGGAAAAAGATTGTGAACATTATGGCATAAATATAGACAAACACTCTGGGAAGGTACCGCATCGTAATTTCTACTGTGTAGTGTCCATTACTAGTATTTCTGCTGTAACAGTTTTCAGTTAGGTTCCAGTGCTGAGATTGTGACATTTTGGGGGCATGCCCCATTGATTCTGCAACCCCAAGGTACTAGCCACCCCTCCTTGAAAAATCCTGGCTCCTCCCTTGATTTCTTGAAATACTTGTATAATCAAGGAGATGAACTGAAAGTACATGTGGCTCCTTTTTACTTCAGAAGAGAAAATTATTATAAGAATTGTTGGCACTCTGATTTTTGAATTTATCTTGAACAAGAAGTTCCAGAAAATGCTGTATTAATTTACTACCTTGTAACCCCAACATATATGTAGCGATCAGTACCCTCTTTATAGGGAAGTCCTATGTTAACAAATGATATAAATGTATTTTAAGATTAAGCCTGGCCAAAGTTACAATCAGAATAATTTATGGTCAAGGAACAACAAAACAATTTAAGTACAGGTAACCCCCATTTTTAACGAGCATGTTTTTCCAATCCCTTGACTCCTTATCATATCAAACTTCAACTGTATACAGTTATGCAGTGCTGAACCATTTAGGCTGTCATGCCTTCCACCCCCTTTATTACGATAATCATTATTGAGATGATGTGCACATTTTGCTTTCAACACAAAAATAGTTCATGCTTTAACCTCCTAAAATGTGACTTACTGTGAGTAAACATTAATTTGATATGTTGTTCTCATTATCGTTCTAAAAATTAACAGGAGGACCACAAACAGCCCATATTTGCAGTTCAGTTTAATCACAATGTACCAGAAGGAACCGATGATCTTCACATGTTTGCCACAGTGGGCAGCAACAGGGTACAGTAACTGAAAATTGAAATGTCCTGGTTCCCAAGAACCAGGACATTTCAAAAAATAACAGGAACATCACAAATAATTCTGAAAGTTCTCATAATTTTCAGGGTAAGCTTTCATTACTTCGTGGCACCGCTAAAAATGCAGTAATTAGATGTTTAATAATAATTATTAAATAATTTTTTTAATTAGTAATTTATAATAATATTAATAGTTATCACTCTCATTTTCTAAATTGGATTATTTCGACAAATGAAAACTTACAAAAAGATATTCTGCCATTGCCAGCAGACACCATTTAAATATTTTTTTTTGTGCCACTTCCCAGTATACTAGTTCCTTTATTTCACCAGGTGACAATCTACCAATGTGAAGCAAAAGGTGTAGTCAAGCTTCTGCAGGCGTATATGGATGCAGATGTATCCTTTTGTTGATATAATTTTTTTCTGATGCCCTATCCCTCTCCTCAAGTCAATCCAAGTACACATTAAAAATAGGCATTTGAATGTACAATAATATATTGACCAACCTGGTAAACAGCTGGTTGTTACTGTTGAGTCAATTAAAAAATTGAAATGAAATGATTTTACTTGCAAGCTATTTTGCTGTTTTTGCAATCAAAATAAAAAGCAGCAATGCAAAGCTAGCCAGGTAATCTTGGCTATAGCTTCACATTAAACATACAGTATTTGGATGTAAAAAAGTTACTGTCTAGTTAAATCTCCTCCTATAAATATTATATTGTATAAACTCATGAAGTCTGCTGTATCTGTAAAACCTTAACAACTTGTTAGCCTGAGGAAAGTTTCTACACCTGTGCTTGGTCTTATCACCCTGACACAGGGGAACCTTTACTTGCCGTTGCTGGCACAAGAGGAATCATCAGATTTATCAGGTTACTATAAATTATTAATTATTGTTAATATATTTCATCAAACTAATTATATTTTTTATAGTGTTTAAAATGTATTATTTTTAATTATTTCATTCTGTCTTGTTATCTGTCTTCATGCATAAACAAACATGTATTACTGTATGATTTATTAGCACTACTTTTTTTTCTGAACATTCGATCAATCTCGAGGACATAATTGTTGAAACACCTGCCTATCTTCAAAATTTGTAACGTGAAATTACTATTGATAAACTTTTACTTAACCAGTCCAGTATTCTTGTTTACCGGTACTCTAAATGTAGAGCTATCCAGATAGTGGCGAGTCTTTTTGTTTACTGCAAATTAAAATAGAATTTGATATTTGTATTAAAGTTTATAGAATATACAAATTAAAATGATATAACCTTCCTTTATAAATTGATGATCTGACATAATAAATTTATAGATGTTCAATTTCAAATCAGTTGAAGCAAGGCAAAAATACTTAAGATCTTCTTATTTTTTTCCAGCCCTATCAGTATGAATTGTATCAAAGTGAGTATATTAAAGACTTTTGTAGTGTTATTTATTTTAAGGTGTTAATCAGCGAGGGGCACATTGCTACATGCATGACCATGTATTTTGCAATGTTCCCAAACAACCCAAATTGTGCTTTCTTTATATCATCAGGGGTGTCACAGACATCACTCCTCTGTACCCTGTTTGTGTGATCCTCTTTAAGCTGATAGTGAAAATGTTTGTGAAAAGCAGATATATAGGCTGGAGAATTTCAGCTCTAATTATAACATTCTACTATGCTTTCCTTTTAGCATTATATCGGCCATGGAGGAGCTGTTAATGAGCTCAAGTTTCACCCTGTGGATCCTTATCTTCTTCTCTCAGCGAGCAAAGGTAGCTATTGCTAATTAACATTTCTTCACTCACGAACTAGCTTACTTTCTCTGGACCAAGCTAGGGACTTGTCAAATTATGTTAATTTTTAACCTGAAACAACAAAAGTGCTGCTTGATTTATGTCAATTCATCTTCACAGCTACAGTAATGGTAAAACCAGCATGTTGCAGTTCAGTTATCTTTGTAAAACAGTTATGGAAGCCTTGCTTGTGAATTCAAAGTAATTTTCTTTGAGTTTAAATTTCACGTTGAGGTTAGAAGGACCAAGGAATTGATCAATGGATACTTCAACTGATTAAGATTATTTGTAACACTGTTAATAACGATTTGATTTAATACCCTCATTCTCTATTAAGTGCAACAAACTCCAACATAAGGTATTTTTGTCATAGGCTATTGCAAATAGTGCTCCTCAGGGCTGCCATTAAGGGCTGTAACCCATAACAGCTGCTATGGCTGAGTATGTTTGATGGGCCCTTGATGTTATGGTTGAACAGGACTATAGGTGATACAATTCACTCACAAAGTAACAAGTTTGTTATGTGTGTTAAGATCAAGGCTACCTGGGACTCAAACTTAGCAACAGCCGTGCTTCTATCCTAATATGCTCCCCCTTATTGTGTTGATGGCAGATCACAGTTTGAGGTTGTGGAATATCAAAACAGATGTGCTAGTTGCTGTATTTGGAGGAGTGGATGGTCACAGAGATGAAGTTCTTAGTACAGTGAGTGACTGAACAAAAATTTTAGACTTAAAAATTTCAAAGACAATTACAACACTCTGAGATGAAAGTAACAAACTTGCGTTATTAAATTTGAAGCATGCCAAGATTTCATAATCATTAATTTGTATTAAAAATAAGATATTCTTTAAATAACAGTTGTAGTTTACAAGCTGCTTGCATAGTCAAAAAAGAAAAAAAAAAAAGCTAACCTGTTTTTTGTTTCCTTGGCCCTATACCCACTTAGGGTTACGGTCAAAATCTAATCTCTATTTTGTTTCCAGTTCATTAGAAAATAGTAGGTTATTAATTATACGAAGTGTCCGCAATAAGTAGAGGGTTTTTCCCCCCTTCGGCTAGATATAAAGACACAGTTTATGTATGTATGTATTTCTCTAAACATGGAAAATTCTGTGCACATTTTAAGGTCAATTTTATGATAATTATGTGGTTTTGTTTTGCCTTCTTTTCTGTTGGAAAGCACACTGGTTACTTTTTCAGTTAAGCTGGATAAGAGGAGTTGTGCTGTCATGTTCTCATCTGTGTTATTTTATTTGTTCAAAGGACTTTGACATCCTTGGTGAAAAGATGGTGTCCTGTGGCATGGATCACTCACTTAAGATATGGTCACTTGAAACTGACGCTATGAAAAAAGTACGTCAAACCAAAACACATGCGTGCAAGTTCTTCCTGCTAGTGGTGCAAAATGTTGCAAAAGATTCTCGATATTCATATTAGGACTGTAACACCCTCTCCCCACTCCCCCAAATGACCAAATTTTAAGTTAATTGTCCCTTATTTTATATTGCTTTCTTGCTTTTGCTAGGCTATCACGGACTCTCACACTTATGATCAGAGCAAAACGGAAAAGTAAGTAAATACTTCATGTAAAGTCTGTTGATGACACAGCTTAATATCTTCTCGTCAAAAAGTACTGCTTTTCATCATGTAATGAGAGAATCATGGCGTTCTGCTGAGGACCTTTTCTTAGAAATGTGAAAAGGTCTTCTTTGAGGGGGCAAGAATAGGGGCGTAAATCTCCCAACCGTGACTCGCTCGCACACGTTTTACCGCGCTCCAGGGTAGTACTTGGTGTAGGACCTCACTATTATGTCCCAAGATACACCCACATGAATCAAGTATGAATCAAGTAGTGAATCAACTATGAATCAAGTAGTGTCACCTATTGCCTGCAGCACCGCTATAGTGCAGCTGTAGTAGCTGTAGTAACAACAACAACAACCATTTTATTTTGGTTCATACATAGAATATCATATAGCAAAAAAATAAATTAAACTTAAATAAGCAAAAAAACTACTCAAAATAGTAAGAACTAAACGAGCTGAGTAGTTACAAGGATTATTATGCTTTAAATCGGTTGTAGGAAAAATAAAGAAACGAGGACGGAGAAAAAATATATATAGATATAAATATAAAAAGAAATATAAGTAGTAATAGTACCAGTAATGCTACAGGCAACAGGTGACACTACTTGATTCATAGTTAATGTGTGGGTGTATCTCGGGACATAATACTGAGGTCTTACTCCAAGTACTACCCGCGTTCCACGTCAGCTCCATGTATTTGCTTCACGTTTTCATTGGTTCGATGGATTATCTCTGTCATTTGTGATTGACTTGAGTGATTACATTCGTTTTGGTTTTACGACACTAGGGGTGCTTTCCATTCAACCAAAAATTCCGAACATTTCGACTCGAGATCAAATGGTGCGGAAATTTCCTGGAAAAAGTTCCAGAAAATCCAGAAACTGTTAAATTTCCGAGAAGCGAACCATTCAACCGAACGTTCCTGAAATTCCCGGGAAGAAATTTTCTGTATACTTCGCAAGGTTGCTTTTTTTTTCCAGAAATTCTGGAAAATGCTGTTCCATTCGTCAGTGGTAATTTCTGAAAACGCAAACCGGAATTTTTCATTGAATGGAAAGCCCCCTTGATGCTAGTGTTTACGTAATTAATAGCATTGTACATGGGAATGACTGTCGTCACTGATCTGTGATGTACGTTGCAGGGCTTTTCACACGATCAAGATGCACTATCCTCACTTCACCACTCGTGATATTCATAGAAACTATGTGGACAGTGTCCGTTGGTTTGGCGATCTTGTCTTGTCTAAGGTAACTTGCTTGCTGTTCATTGAGGCCCCGTCCATACTAAGCCGGAGGAATTTAAAAAAGGAGGTTTTAATCTTAAGACGCATCAAGTGTTTTCCGTTCACACTATGCCGAAGGAATTTAAAAACGGAGGTTTTAATCTGGAAACGCATCAAATGTTTCCTGTCAACACTACGCCCGAGGAGTTTTAGAAAAGGAGGTGTTAATGTGAAAATGCATCAAATGTTTCCGTCCACACTGTGGCGGAGGAATTTGAAAACGGAAGTTTCACTCTGTAAACGCATGAAATGTTTTCTGTCCACACTAACCGGACTACGCCGTACAGGAGGAATTTAAAAACGCAACTATAAGCGGTCATTTTGGATTTGTGTTTGGCGACAATTCAGTCAGGGAAATCACAGGATTGTCGTGACGCCATCGTTTTCGAAAAGTTTCCGTCCACACGAAAACGCAAAGCCGGCGATTTCAAATCCCTCCGGTCTGAAGAGCGTTTTCGAATAGCTTCGTTTTCGTGGCGGATTGGTGTGGACGGTAGGTCTCACCGTAGAAATAAAATTGCCTTTTCAAATATCTGCTCTGTTCCTTGGTCATTGATACGCTGTTTTGTTTTATAGTCTTGTGAAAACTGCATTGTATGTTGGAAACCACAAGAGCGATTTGAGGACATCTTTAAAGGGGTAAGAGAAGTCAAATGTTGATTTCATCTGTAGTTATTTCATTGAGATAAATTAAGCCTTCAGTGTTATGATGGAAACTTTCAAATGAAAACAGAAAAAAAAGTTAAGCAACATACGGTTTAGACAAACAAAAATTTTCTGAAGCCATGAAACGTCGAGTCAGTCAAATCACGTGATATTAGTTTGACTTCTGATTGGCTGAATGACGTCATCATCGCTCTGTAGGCTAGGCAGGTTTTGCACGAGTTTCAGTGGCTTAGCACAGTCCGCTTCTTTAGCTCAGGCGTGACATCGGCAAACGGAGATCCAATCACTTTGATTCTGTTGAGCGTTTTCTTTCTTTCTGTTTTTCAGCCGTTTAATTCTGAGCGAGTCGTTACTGTTCTTCACAGGTGAGCAATCACGCATTCTCTCTTAACGAAGCCTTTCCCTGATCTCAAAGTATTCTTCTTTTCTGTTTTTTTTTTTGTTAATCTTGATTGGCCTTGTTCTTTTTGTTTCCTCAGGTTCGAGTTTTCGCAATGTGACATTTGGTACATGCGGTTCTCTTTAGATTACGAACAAAGGGTAAGAATTATTGAATGATGTATTCCGAGTGTAAGATGTCTCACAATCTTGTCCTGGTTTTACTACTGTCTGTTATTTTTGTTTTACCCAACTAAAAGTTTACAAGTAGTAAACAAACCAAACAGACGCGGTAACTGTAGTAGTCTGTGTTTCTGTTTTGTTGCAGTTAATGGCGGTCGGGAATCAAGCGGGAAAGACATTTGTTTGGGATATTGGTGTTGATGATCCAACGAAAGCTAGGTACAACCTCTTGTTGTAAATATCCTTCGTTGTTTCTTAATGTGAAATGTTCATTTAACACCAAGGCTAAGTCACTGGGCTGGTTACGCACGTGCTTCTAAACTGAAACGCGTTCCCAGAGTCAATCAGTACGCAATAAACCAATCAGAACTCAAAATAAAAACACGTGACCGGTGCTAAGCGCGGGAAGAATTCAGCGACCGGTTTAAAGGGCGGTAAAAGCAGAGGTGATGGTGTGAAAAGACAACATCTCTGATTGGCTACCACTAGTTGTGCGATCCTTTAATTATTTATGAAGCATAACAAAAAGCCAAACACAGAGTTGGCAATAAACATGAATGTGGCGATCTGTTACCTTTATAGTTAACTTACTGAACTTGATTTCTACAGGTCAACAACGCTTGTACACAACAAGTGTGTTTCAGCCATCAGGCAGACGGGATTCAGCAAAGATGGCAAGTAAGTAAACACCCAAGTGTCTTCCTGTCTAGTCGAAAGAACGTCAATATAATTCATCATGTTCATCAAGTTAAAACAAAGGAAATCATGACCGTGAGGGTGTTTGGATCTCTGATCTTGTGAGCGTAGATCTATACGGGTTTAGTTCTTCTTTTTCTCCTTAAATTTCACTTTTAGTTTCAACTGAGAAGATATATCAAATGCTCGAGACAGTGTCCTAACACATTTCCAAGTACTTCGAAATTCGTCAAAAATACTCCGTTTCCCGTTGCTTTTTGGATTCTCTTCTTGGTGTTTGCAAATGTGGCAAAGCACAGTCTTTTGTATTTCATATAATGCATTTCAGTTTATCGCCTGTTTTCAGCGTTTGTTGTGCCGTAGGTTTCACGTTTAATCTTTTTCTGATTTCTTTACAGGATTTTAATCTCTGTATGTGATGATGGCACCCTATGGAGGTGGGACAGAGTCAGATAACTTGCCATTCCAGCTCGCTGTCGTTCAGTGGTTGTCTGTATCATAGCTCCCTACTTTTGTACTGTGTATTTTCTCATGCATAAATGTACACGTTGTACTTTTCGTACTGATTTACAGATGGTGGTTTGTTGTCATATGTTTGCAGATATTACCTTGCATTGACGTCAGTTCTCTTTATCCTAATCTAGCTCAGCGATTTCAATCAATTAGAAAATTCAAACAACGTATCTGGTAAACGAGCGCCTTATTTTTAATAAGTATGGACTGCGGTTACTGACAATTGGGCTGTCCTCGAGAATGCTGTAGTTTGTTTCACTTTTGCCCAATTCTTAAAAAATTACCGTACCCAAATTCGCAATTAACTTATCAAAAGCCGTGTCTACTCTCCTGATCTGCGTCATCAAGTTACTGACCTGATGTGGCTACGATATCATGCTCGCTTGGCCGAATTTGGGTACGGTGAATGCCTAATCGTACCTATTTGGTACGCTTCGGAGGGATATCAGGTTCGTTTGGTCTCGCCATTGGTATTTTGGCGAGACGTAGTCGAGCCAAAATACGAACCATGGCTCGACCAAGCTCGCCTGATATGCCTCCAAAGGTACGAATAGCTAGGTCTAAGAATTTGCATCAATCAAACATTTGCGCGCGCTTTTTCGTGTTGTGTGTCCTCTGTGACGCAAATTCGTTAAAATGTTCTGAGTAACTTAAGTAACGTACTGACATCGACCATGGCAGAGTCTGTTCGTTTTGATGTGAAAAACCAAACTGCTCAATATAATAGTTCTTCTAATAAGGTTGATGCATTTGTCGACCAAACCGCGGAGTCAAACTGCATCGTGGAAATCCGCTCTCAACATAGGGCTGGGAGTGCAACCTGCAAGAATTGCGAAAGTAAACATAAGAAAGTGCAAAGGAAAACAATTTACGCCAGAATTCGAAGTTATATTTTGACTGGACAGAACATTGAAGCCAAGTTGAAGCGGTTTAACGTCAAGTCGCATCGTGGGACAAATCCTTTTGGATTTCTTCGCAAACTCTTTGGCGCTCTGTTCCAGAAGGAAACAGATGTGAAATTCACTGCGGAAGAACTGGAGAAACTGACGGAATGTCAGCTGGGTGCATTAAAGGAATCGCTTCAGAACATAGTAGCAGACAAGCGGAAAGAACTTCAACAAGAAAAGTTGGCTCGTATAGGCGAGAGAGAAAGCTTGGAGAAATCAAAACGGAAGGCGAAGGACGTAGAAAACATGGCATGGGTGACGCTGAAGCCGTTTATAAATAATCATCCTTCTTCAGATGATTTAGCCAGAGTTTTGATGTTTTAGAAATCTTTCTGAATTACTTACCTTGGAAAATAAATTGCCCTGTAGTTTTGAAGTATAAATCTGAACGTTAGTCAGGGACTATTCAGTAGGAGAGCGCCTCTCGTCTTTCTCTTGAATCAAAATCAAAAGTAGGAAGGAACTAGATTTTTCATTATTAAAGGCACTAGATCAATATGAGACGAGACTGGCGACGTTTTTCTTTGCATATTAATTTCTGGGCCGAGACATCGTAGAGGGGCTAGTCCGAATGAACTTCACCCACCACGCGTGATACAGCTGGTCAATTGAACGGTTTGAGGTTTTTGCCTCATAATAACGGGGTTCTGTTTTAGAGTTTAATTCCCGCTAAAGCATTTATGATATCTCGATTTAATTCAATTCTGCTCTTAGTAAAAAGTCTTTGGAGCAGACAGACGTGTTCCCATAGGGTAAGTTAAAGCGTGGTGTCTGTATGCAGTCCAGAACAGGGGAGCTTTCCATTATGCCAAACATTCCGGAAATTTCGGTCCAAAGTCAAATGGAAAGGTCCTTTCGACCTTTTAGATTTGGTCCGACCGGAATATCGACTTGAATCGGTCTGAGCGGTCTGACAGAAAGTTTGTTCCATTTTGGCAAATCAGTTCGTTGCCCTACTAATCTTCAGTCTCTTCAGTTCTCTTCAGTAGATTTTCACAAAGTGAGGGACTGGGGAAACGAGTAGAAAATGGTAAGAGTCTTTTTTTTTCAGTTGGCCAAGTTTGAACAAGTGTTGCTTGGTTAATTCCACTGGTCCCTGACCAGTTGGTCTGGCATAATGGAAAGCACCCGAGCTAGGACTAAAAAACATTCTATCAGGAGGTGTACTCGACTGTTATACCGAGTGCTGCCGCTGCTGCTGTAGTAGCTTGACATTCATGGATTCAACGATGTTGGCTACATGTTTGTCTTTAATTAGCTCGCTTTTTTTTTTTTCGATTCTCAGCGTTTGTCAAAGAAAATTAGGTAGTTCAATTTTTTTACCCATGAGTCGTCGAATTTGCAAGTGTTATATGTTGGTTGACAGTGTTTGCAATGCTCTTTTCAAGGACGTCACCATTCTGCGTACTGCCGCCCGCTCTCCTCAAGAAAAACCGGAACGGGGCATCGGACGTCATGAATGAGCATATTTTCTCAAGAGACCCCTACCCAGAATTGGTGATAGAAACATTTTCTCAAAGAATGTATTTGCATTTTTTTTTCAAACTGACAGGTGTAACGGCCATATGCATAATGATTTAAAAGGGGTCTGCTTTAAAAAAGATATATTTTCCCACACATTGTATTGGAAAGGAGCCGGAGCGTGATGAGACTCGACTTTTTTTCTGAGTTCTGACATTATTTTGTATGTCTACCACACTCTTGAGAAGATTTTCGCGCAAACGTTCGTAAAATACAAAAGTCGCAGGACTTTTTAAAACGGCGTCTTTCCAAACGGTCTGTAATAAAAGAGGAGATGGTCTCACGCAGCCGTCGTTTTGAATTATCGCGCAACTGGGAAAAGAACCCTGCGTGACGACCCTAGTCAAAGATGGAACGTAGCGGATCCAGAAAATCGAGCGAATTTTATTACCACGTTTATGTACAAAATGAAGGATCATGGGAGGATGTGCCAACTTCAAAATAATCCAATCTTGAGTTTCGAGACTTTAGCTAATGGAAAAATATAATCCTTCAAAAGGCTGATGAGCTCCTCTCTCACCTAAAAATAAAAACAAATAAGATAAATTACGTTAGCTGTCATAAAACCACACCAAAAATGTCAACTGAAAATAACGACATTTGGCAAAATCCGAGCAACGCAGGGAACCAATACGAATTAGACGCTAAAGCATGCAACCCGTGCCAAGCGCGGGAAAACTCGCGTCAGAAAGTCCACGGGTGGGTTTGGCCTTGCTCCTGATTGGTTAAAAAATCCGTACGTTTGCTCTGATTGGTTAGAGCATTTGCACGAGCTTAACTCTTTTTTAATTTGAAACAGTGGTGGAAGGACTGGAAATACTCGCCTTGTTCTCCCAACTGTCTCCTCGCATAATAGCTTTTAATATTGGAGTATGGAAAACAGTTAGCAAACAGTGACTGATGCAGTGCATCATGTACACACCTCTGGAATGTCTACCATTCTCCGCAGTTTTTGATCTCTCCAAGTCCAGTCAAGAATCACATATTTTAATCGTGACATCTTTAATGAATCTGAATGTTAAAAGAGGAGAACTTTTAAAAATTATATTCAACAAATTATCGAACCACAAGTGTGCATTATCTCAAAAGAGTGTTTGTTTACCATTTTGTAGGAGCTTTAGAATACGACTTGGTGTCCCAATACCAAAATGAACCACATGTGACTCGAGAAATTGCTCTTGGACAGACATCTGGGAAGAGAAATTTTTCAACAGTTAACAGAAAAGTTGTGTGATTTCATCTAGAGGAAAAAAATGTTTCAACAAACATTCTTTGCTGTGCTGCACAAAGTTAGAAAATCCCTCAAGCTGATCCATCTCCACCTTAGGTATTCTTTCCCTAGTGTTGGTCAAGAACTAGTCTAGTTCTGGCTCTCTCTCTGTCACGCAATGTAGCATTGCGTGACAGAGAGAGAGAGAGCAAGAGGACCAGAACTGGACTAGTTATGAACCCACTGAATGACAGACCCATGATGAGCAACACGGCTGCTTGACTGCCACATTTTAACCAACATCTTCAAACCTTGTCTTCCCAGTCAACCTGCATGTTTAGAGCGTAGATTATTCTTTTGGTGACGACGTGCTTGTTTACAACTTTTCGGTCTAAGGGGAACACATTTAACATTACCTTCATGTGTTTGGCAAACAGTTTCACTGTTTTACATTTCCCTTTGAATTCTGCTGCTGATCTACAAAAGGAAAGAGGAGAATCTTTCACCTAATCTGAATGTTTTTTTGGTTCAAGGCAGTGGAGGAGGGCATAGAATCTCCAACTGGATTTGCAAAACTTCAACTCAACTACTAAAAATACTTTCTAATATACAGCTACACTAAACACTGGCTTCTCTAACAATCTACTGATCGATAATAAAAACAAGTTAAAATTAATCACTGACCTATTGAGTTCTACCACTCTAGTTGCTGCTGAAGAAATAAAGAGAAGTAATGGAGATCCCTTATCACCTCTCTTGTCTAGTTTGTCAACATGACCTGTCCAATGAGGAATAACTGCAAGAAATAAGGTCACAATGGATTGGATAAATTAATTCTAATCAGCTGATAATTGACTGAAACAAAACTGTATCCCATAAACATATCATTTCAATAAAAATGTGATGGTGTTCGGATATCTGATCTTAATTTGCATCGATTTTTGCAACTTTTTGCAATCACAGATAAGTGAATCAGTGGTAAATGTTCCTGTGTGACACAACAGACATTCATTCATTAACAATTCCACATTACGCCATCCTCGGAGACCTAGGAGCTTGCAACATTAACTGTCCTGCCCCAACCAACTGCCCCTGGGTCTCCGAGGATGACATTACTTAGCAAAATTGGTTGCTGTTTAGTCAAAACAAACCTGTACTGAGATAAGGAAGGAGTTCATCAGAAGCACCAGTGTGTGTGGAATCATCTACCAAGCAACAGGAATCTAATGTAAGGAAAATAAATTATGTATATAAGTAAATCTATTATTTTATGTTATTCATTCAAACTCAATACAATTTTGTAACTGACAATGACAAGGTTACAAAGAAAACCTGTATTCCCTTTGGGCAAGATATATGACTATCTATGATGCACTAGCCCAAACATCATCCCAAAAATTTCCTATTAGCAGGACAAATCAATTTAAAATTAAATTAATACAACATAACTTCTGTAATTTAAATTTCCCTGAAATCAATTTTCCCTTAAGAAAACTTCACTTGCCCATATCGGGTAAGCGAAGGACAGAATCCATTAGGCTAGCCTGACAGTGAAATCCACCAGTCCCAAGCAATCAGGATGACTTCCTTTGCACACTGATGACTTATTAAGTTCCTGTCCAAAGATGTCTTTCAAAAAATTGTTCTTTTACATTAAGTTTCTGAAGGCTTTAAGAAAGGTTTAAAGTAAGGTGAGCGGTGGTCTACTGTTTTCTTGCAGCATATAGACCAAATCAGCATTTCTAAGCCACCGTTAGGATACTACTTCACCATTACCATCTATCATTACATCCTCAAGTTCTAATGTGGAAAGCGACCCTGCAGTACAGTCACAGAAAGTCATCCATAACAGCTTAGGAGCTTCAGTGCCATGAAATTCTGTGCTTATACTTTCAATCTGAAAAAGAAAAGAAAAATCATTAATTTATAGCTTCAAAACACAGACTTTGGAGTTCCAAATTTACTATAATTTTTACTCTCCACTGTTGCTCTGCTCATTACCATGGAAAGTGGTAGTGAGCTACGAAGGTCTGCGAACACAGGATGTTTCACCAAATGCCAAACACAACAACATGTTTGCTTGAGGTTAGCTTTTACTAGTTGGAGAGGGAAAAATACAAATATAATGCTGTCCTTTCCAACAAAAAAAGCTAACCGCAAGCAAACATGTGTGAAACTAACCACATATTAAGCAAACCGCGCATTTGGCATTCAGTATTCTGCAAAATACCCCTGCCAAGGGTCAGCCTGGTAACAGTTTGTCTTTATTTCCCAGATCTGTCGTGTAAGCCGAAATGTAATAATTTCATATTTGAGGGGAAAAACAAGGGGCTCCCTTGCTTGGAAAACAGAGAGACTATTTCAAGTAAAATTTGTCCCAATATTAAGCTTTAAACAATAACACTGCTAGCAGCCTAATACTACAACACTTCTAGTGTATTTATTTCTGATAGATCTATATCTATATGACATACCTTGGGTTTTTTCCGCTTTTTCTTTACTTTTCTTTTGTCTTTATTGTCACCATCTAGCTGAGTTTAATAAGTAAAATAATAAACAATAACTCAAGTGAAAATATAAGCTTAAATAACCATTGACATGAGATCATCACATGTAATGTTGACGCTTACAAGAATAACCAACTGGCTAAATGTTTGGTTTTTCTGTGACATCATAGCAGCCATGTTGATAGGCTCGATTTCCAGCCGCTGTTCGGGAAATCGGACTCGAGAGAGTGACGAAAATCGAGCCTAACATGTTGATGGACATCATCAAAAGCAGTGTCAAAAGATTTCTTGAAACCTACTCACATGTTTATCGTTGTTCTTTAAATCTTTTCGCCGCCTCTTTCCCCCCTTAGTCTCAGGTTCTTAAAATGAAAGTCGTGGTTCAAGCGCTATAAGTTTTCTTTAAGAAAAAAAGCAGAATGATTTACAAAGCAGAATTTACCAATATCCTCGACGTCTTTTTCCTCCAGCCACCACTCGTCGCCCAAATCGTCCGCCATATTTAATTCCAACAGGGAGAGACTGGGGACTATTCAAAACCTCTACGGTCTTGCTGTCCTGCGGTCTTCCCATTCTCATCCCCATAGCCCTTTTCGCTTCTCTTAGCCGTTGAGGCGACAAGGGCTATGGGGACGAGAATGTGTCGTGGGGCGCAAGGTAGTCGCGTTGGGTCTTGCGCAGGGTTGGGGGTCGGGCTTCAGAGGATTTGCTCTTTCGAGTGGGGTGAGGATCAAATCACTAGACAAGTTTTTTTGCTAAGGATTTCCTTTATTATTATTATCTATACGTGCTAGGAGTGTAAAGAAAGTTGCAGCAGCTATTTCAACCTCCAATTCCAAGGTTTCTTGAGGGAGGTAGAGAGAAGACCTTGGGAACGAGGTTGCCGCTATTTTATGTAACCAGTGAGGTTTTGGTCCATGAAACACTCTCCGGGGATCTGAGCTCTAAGTTTGTAGAACAGGGGTATTGCTAAGCCCAGTTACAGTAGCCCTGTAACAGGGCAGACACCCCTAGGGGTTATAGCCATAATGGACAACAATTTACAGGGATGCTCCACCCAAAAGGAATACTGGAGGACTGTTAAAGGAATTAAAGGATAGGTTTTTCACATGTTGCAGTTTTTAAAAGGGACTTTCAAAAGATTGCAAATAGGTATATTAGTGCAAGGAGGTGTGAAGCAGTCTGTGGCTGGGTATGGATATTTTCTGGAATTGCCCAGTTCTTGAAAGACCATAGTTTAAAAATTTATACCAAAAAAACCAATAGTGATGTTTGAAGCTCATTATTTTGATAGTTTAATCCTTAAAATTTACCAGTACTCATCATTATTTCCTGCTATCAAAAAATTAAAAAATCTAAATGAGCTGTTGTGAAATATAACATTACTTCTTAAAAGATTTTTAAAAAAATACAATCTTGATACAGCTGTCAAAAAATAATATTTAAATTTCATGAAAGTAGACCATGGATGGGTTTTGGGTGTTTGCGATCTTGTTGATTTTCACTATCTATTTACAACCTCTTAATTTTCAACAGAACTCTACATTATATATTTCCCAGCTTACCATACATTGCTCTGGAAATAACCATTTCCCCCACCCCTATCCATGCAGGGTTGGTTTGAACCCCCCTGAACTAACTTATTATATACTTTATATGTAGGTATTTCATACCCTATTAGTTATGCACTTGGTACGTTTGTCTCTATACTTAAATATCTTACCATACAACCAATATTATCAACATTTTTCAGGTGGTGTTCAGTCAACTACACTTACAGGGCTCAAAATAAGTGCCATTCAGATGTCCAGGACAAGTAGAGTCTCCTTCTGGGCAAGTACCTTTTCATTCTCACTTGCCCTGTGGGCAAGGGGTCAGGCAATTTGTCTGTCAACTAAATCATTAAAAGATCAAACTAAGACTTGCCCAGGGCAAGTAATATTTGAGACATACTTGTCCTTAAAGGGCAAGCTGGTGGAACTTACTGGATTATAGATGGACCTTTTTACCGATGTCATGCAATATCACCAATAATTTTTTTGTATCTTTCATCTAAACAAAAAACCTGCAACTCCATAGATCAAAATATTGATCATGCCTGAAAATCAGAAAATCTGTGGCAAACTCGTGAAAGTATGGGATCCCAAACTTGCCAATTTTTACGAAGAAATGTATGCCAGGGGTAAGCGATGTCCCCTGACATACATTTCTTTATAAAAATTGGCAAGTTTGGGGTCCCATATTTTCATAAGTTTATAACAGATTTTTATGAAACTGCCCATATATACCAAATTCGGCATAATAAATTGAGTTGTGGGGCTTATTTTTTTCAGCGGTAAAAGGCCCATTATCACTAGAAATAGCTTCCTTAACCATTCGCAGCTGCAAAATATCACTGCATATTTAGCCTTCAAAATTGCAACTTAGTTCCAGTCCAATGTTAAGGAATGAGTTATAGTCTATTCACTACTGATGCACTGTACACACTCCAGGGAGGGAAAGAGAAAAAAACCTTGTGAGAGCAAAATTGTCTTGCACAAGAACGTGTGATTCCTGAAAAGGGTCTAATAACCCTCATTTCACTACTTTGTCACCCATTATGAATCAGACTTATATCTGTGCTAATTCATCCATGTTCATAATACCAATTCTATCGTTGTCCATATTTACTGGTATGGGCGCGGATGGTTCCGCCGAAGGAGACTCCACATATTGGTAAAAAATGGACATCACCACAAACACTAACATCACAACAAACAACATGGCAGCAAAAAAGAAAAACTCTGTCATCTGGTTGGTGAAGAGGTGAGATTCTGCTTCAATGACAACAATCAGATTACCAAATGCCACTGTCATCAGCCAGGCTGCCTGGAGACATGACTTCATGCTTGCAGGTGCTTGAGAATATGCGAACTCTAAACCTACATTATAATGAACAGAAAATGAAATTACATGTAAGACAAGGCTGATATTCTAGCAAAATAAATTCCACAAAAAATTGTCTCAAAATATTCATGGACTGTCTTTAATTTAATTATTGGTATGTACTTAGATCACTTAGGAGGCATGGGCTTAATGATTCTGGACTCTGGATGGAGTGGTCTGGGTTTCAGCCCAACCAAGGGTCATTCTGTTCTGTTCTGAAAGTTCCCCTCTCCACCCAAGTATCTAACTAGGGCATTGGCAAATGCTGGTAGTATGCATTTTATCCATCAGGTGGTAGAAATACTCATGGGGTTAAAATGTAATTTAGGAGAGGTTGAACTCAAGACATTGCTGGGCAGCGGTCTTCTTCACTACTGAGGGGTGGTCTCAGGGCTTTCACAGGGCTCAGTTAATTTACAGCTCTCCCAGCAGTTTTTTTTTCTGCCATTTTGTGCCTGTTGCTTGTCACTTGCAATAAAGATTGGTAAAAGCCTTTCACTCCCATCACTGCCCAGTCCCTCTAGATAAGCATTAATTAGGTAAGCTTTTAACTTTTTCCACTGAGAAATTCAGTGTGATGGTGCCTGGTGGTTTCTGCTCACAGGGTTGTCATGGTTACTAGGGCTGTCATTAAGGTTTAAGTCACATGTAGTCACCTGGGTGAATTCTATCAACAACAGGCAATTTCACCCATAACATCAAGGGAAAATCAAGCATAACTCAGCTGTAACAGAAGTTACAGGTTACGACACTTTATGACAGCCCTGCATGGTTACCCTCTGTGCTCCCTTGCAGTTGCCACTGAGCTTTTAGATACCTTTCCCACACTCTATTGGTGATGAGTTTAACTAGTTGCTTAATGCTACGGGGTGCCACTGAGCTCAAACAAAGACTTTTACCTTTTACCTATCTAAATTTATGTTATACATCCCATTAAGACATAAAAGATTAGATCAGGGGATTATAACTCACCAGTAATTGAGAACAGAATTTCTCCACTTGTAATTACAAAATACTGTGGAATCTGATACAACATTGACACACTGTTAGCTTCCAAATCTTCATACAGAGTGACATTAGCTGCTCCTCTCTCTGTGTTGTGTATTACAGCAGTGTATATCCCACCATTCTGAACAACAATGTCACTCGACACGTAAGTTGTACTTGAATTCTTTCCTTTAACTGAAAGCTTATAGTGATCTGCTGAAACAACAGAGCAGTACAATTCTCCCAGAACCAACACATTTTCCTGAATCCTATCTTCATCAAGAAAGATATCAAATGTACTGTCACCAGAATATAAGGGCAAGATAACTGTGCAAAGCTTTGCTTTCCCTGGTGGTGGAAGAGTTACATTTTGTTTGACTGTATGTGATACCATTTGATTTCCATATCCACTGATTACCAGGTTGAACCAGTGCTTTTCTTGCAAGTTGAGATTATTCTTAAACATTTTTGTTGACAAATTGTAACAATTTGGAGATGTTGTAGACATTATGGCAGTCAAGTTTGTAGCTGCTGGTAACTCCATCTCAGTAGAATGTCCATATGAAGCCACTGTTACATTTTTATTTCCAATGGCAAGTGAAACAGAGCAGTCCAAAGTGTTTATGACTTGTAAATTGGCTTGTCCTTTTGGAGGTGCATTCTTGATGACTTCTTCACTCTGAAATTTGACAATGAAATTATTGCAAAATAATAAAAAAGGTAACATTACTATTACCTTTCATCATGTTACATGTGTTATTTAACATGGTAAAAGACACATCCCAAATTACTGTACATGTACCTTCTGTTCACAATGCGTAGTTCCAGAAAATGTCCATCCCCTTACCACAGCAGGCATCTCAGAATTCTCAAGGAGCAGGGGTTCCATATGCCTTCGAGTGTCAATCAATATGCTCAATTGACCCTCGATCAACACTGGATCGACAACTTGATTGACACCAATAGACACACTTGATAGACATCTCGATTGATACTCATAATCAACGTCTCAATTGACACTCGATCAACATTTGATCAACAGTTGGTTAATATAATATATATTGATTGACACTACAAAAATCAGTCTACTATTCACTGACTGTCAACCGAGATGTTGATCAAGTGTCGATTGAGTATTGATTGAGTGCCGATTGAGGGTATTGATCAACACTTGACAAAGAATGCCTTTAGTGCACATGACCTGAATTCAGAAGGCAAGGAGGGAGAGGGGGGGTTGAGCATTTTGGAATATCAGAAACCACGTTGGGATTTAGATGATGATGTTGCCTGTGGTAGGATATTCTCTGGAATCACTCATTACAATAGATACACCCCAGTAATATACTCAGATCACGGCACCCTGGAACTTTTGAACTCAGATGAGAGGTCGCGTATCTCCAGATAACCCACATCTGCAAGTCACTTTGTAGCTACTAAATATTAAGTTAACCTGTTATTGAATATTACATAGCTTTACCTGTATCTTCATCTGAAGAAATCCAGCAAAAATGAAGGCTACTGAAGCAAGAAACATTCCTACACACATCCTCTTGAGTGGTTTTGGCCTCTTCAACAATGGATACACCACAGNGCAGACTTTACCTATCATCTTTTCCTGTCACAGTGGCACTGACAGAAATAACACATGAAAGGGACTTGGAGATGTGGTTGTCCTTGCCGACTGTTTTGCACTTAATATCTAATGCCTTCTATGATGTGTTGTATTTTCTTATTGTGGTAATTTGAAATGCCAAAATAGGATCCTATAGGAGTAGTTTAAAAAAGCAACTAAGAATAATCAGCAGTTCTGTCCAAAAAAATTAATTAACATCAAATTTAAACTGACCAGCGTCACCATTCATTTGTCCTGCCTGCAAAACCCAGCGGGACCCCTGCTGATCAAACAGTGTCCAGAACACGGGTAGTGGTAGAAACATAAATAGCACTTTAAACATAGCCTTGATGTCCTGTATCAACTGTGCATCATATGTATCGCCAGCCCAGTCCATCCAATGATCCTTCTTCTCTCCCTTAAAAAAACAAAAGAGTAATGATGAAGATGACGGCAATAATGACTATGATGATAATGACTTTGATTATAATGACTTACATGTATAACAGATCATAAACTACCCAACAGATTATCTTACCAGCCTGTTTTTGTTACTTGTAGCATCTAGTACATTATGTTAACTTTAAAGGTTCAACCGTAGAATCAGAGATTTATATCATTTACTTCTAACCTTTGTTGTAATTTTCTTCTTGAGTGCATAACTGACAGCCCTCATTACTCGCCACAAAATGTTATCAGTAAGAGGAACCCTCTTGTACTTATGCCGACCACACCAAAAGAATGCAATGGCCATTAACATCAAGGCTGCAGGAATGCCAAAGGCCAGGGGGTAACAGTCGTCTCCAAAACACTTCACATCTCCTGAAATGATTGAACATCAAATATTATATACCGTCCTAGTAAATGATATTTTATTAAATGGTAGGCCAGCAGAGGAGACTGTCATCCTGTAATACAGATTGGCATGCATTCCAAGAAATCAGAAGTGCCTCTGGTAACACTAAATAGGAGTGGTGGGTGGTAAAATCAGGGACTGATTGCCAATACATGTAGACCGTTGTTTGAAAATCGGGGACCAAGACTTCAATGATCTTACAAAATCTGCGCCACCCAGTGCAGAGAACATCAAACCCAAGACTTAGTAGACTTCTGTATTCTATGCAAAAATCCAAGCCCTTTAAGACATGTCTTGATATTCAAGTGCTCTTGGTAGCCAGCAGTTGGACTGCTTTTCCTGTATCAACTAGCTGTTTCATTTGAATGCAGACCCACAGCTAAATTAAAAAATGTATACTTTTAAATGTTAATTGTGCACTTACTGAACAGTAACAACTTTTTTTAGCATCCCTACCTCTGAGAACTGGTGTGATCAACATTGACAACAAACTACCAGCATTTATTGCAAAATAAAACACAGAGAAAAAACTTTGAAGCAAGTGAGACTGATCAGAAGTGAACTGGTCTCCTCCAAATGCCGATACACAAGGCTTGATACCTCCAGTGCCCAGCGCTATTAGAAATAAACCAATCATTGGGCCTGCAATCTCGCCAGCACCAAGAGGAGGAAGAGAAGTGATGGACACTATCAAGTTCCCAAGGCAATAAACAATAGAGACATACAAGATTGTTCTGAAAAAGTGACAGAAGAAAAAGTATCAGTTTAGAACTTGCAAAAGCACTTTCATTGGTATGATAACCAACTTGCATAGGCCAATAGCACCATAATAATTATTATAGGAACAGAACCACATGCATGCATAGAAATAGAAAACCATGCAACTCTTTTTCCATGGTCAACATTGCTAGCAGCATGGATTGTGGGCATGTGCGCCCTGCAATGACGATGACATCGCACAACATGGCGGCCATACTACAGCTAATACCCAGTCATGCAGCCTTAGTTTACAGTATACATCTTTGATATTGGACATCCATGTTATAGTCGATTGACACCTGCCAAAGCAAGGTATCTATTAACCAGTATCACATGATCATATCACAGGCTCAGGTTTAGGCTCTTCAAGGTCACATGTTTTTTTCAAAGTTGACCGCTGACCAACTACTGGTTTTTGATTGTGCTCCGGCTCATGTCAGGTTAACTTGTTGTAGTCAGAGCCGGGCTGTTCAGAAGCTGTTTAACGCTAATCCAGGATTAAAAGTTAACCGAAGTATAAATTTTTCTTGTATGCAAATGTTTTTCACTGCTTTTGTTTTGTCTTAAGTGTGAGATTATTCAAACTCAAAATAGAAGGCCAAACAATATCAACAGAAAACCTCACCACAAAGTTACAAAACTCAAATCAAAATTCTCGGGCTTTGAACAACCCGATCCAGGAGCTCTACTTTTAGGCTTGGCTAAATCTATATATTAAATAAGGATGTCAGCTAAATAATGAGCTGTCTGTCAACAATAATTTTTGGGTGGTCATTTGCTTCAAGCAGTCTGCATTATCAGTAAGTTAAGATCTAGTCACCTTGTTGAGATATTTACTATACACCCATATAGGAATGAAAGGAATTTATAATTTAGGCTCATTTTATGACCCTTTGAATCATATTCACATTTCAAACCCCTCATTGACTAGCTTTTCAGCTAATTACGAATATATACATGTATAGGCTGGGTTTAAATTCTGGAACCTTAATTAAAACATCTATGCCAACTCTCTTGGAGTATCCAAGAATCTTCCGAATACAGTCTGAATCTCCCAATCTCCTGTATAGGTCACCAAATCTCCTGGATATGAATGTTAAAGTACATTTTACACAATCATTTTGGTGGATCATGTTTGCTAAAGGCATCCGTGGTTGAATGTCAATTGATACCCCCAATCGACACTTAATCAAAACTTAATTGACATCTCAATCGATACTCTGTTGACACTAGACTGACACCCGCTCAACGCTCAATCGACACTCAATTGACAGTTAGTCAATAGTTGACAGAGTGTCAACAGACTCATATGTATCAAATGACACTTGATGGCGTGTCTGCAAAAATTAGTCAACTCTTGACCGACTGTAGATTGAGACACCAACTGAGTGTTGACTGAGTATCCATGAAGATGTTGATTGTGTGTTGGTGGAAACGTTGGGTCCATCAAAGGTATCAATCGACACTCAACCGCAGGTGCCTTTTAGTACACATGATCCATTTTTGCCACCTTTTGGTATGTTGGTTTATTTGACACATTTTTGTTGATAAATCAGGTGAGCTCTACTTTCGACAATGTTTTAGGGTCGAGAGGGTAAAATTGGTTACCTCTCACGATTTCTTTATGTTGGCATCTCTCTCTAACAGAGATCTTCAAAGTCCTGGCTTGCCTACCTATATAAAAAAGCTGGAGGGCTCAAACTAGCAATGGTCGGCAATGGGAGTGAAAGAGATCGTTTTTACTCACCGATATTTTCCAAGCCAGCCATCAGCTAACATTGCTCCAAACAAAGGCGTAAAGTAACATAACATGGAGAAAGAGTGAANAGACACCAACTGAGTGTTGACTGAGTATCCATGAAGATGTTGATTGAGTGTTGGTGGAAATGTTGGGTCCATCAAGGGTATCAATCGACACTCAACCGCAGGTGCCTTTTAGTACACATGATCCATTTTTGCCACCTTTCGGCATGTTGGTTTAGTTGACACATTTTTGTTGATAAATCAGGTGAGCTCTACTTTCGACAATGTTTTAGGGTTGAGAGGGTAAAATTGGTGACCTCTCACGATTTCTTTATGTTGGCATCTCTCTCTGACAGAGATCTTCAAAGTCCTGGCTTGCCTACCTATATAAAAAAGCTGGAGGGCTCAAACTAGTAATGGTCGGCAATGGGAGTGAAAGAGATCGTTTTTACTCACCGATATTTTCCAAGCCAGCCATCAGCTAACATTGCTCCAAACAAAGGCGTAAAGTAACATAACATGGAGAAAGAGTGAAACACGGCAGTGGCTGTGTTGTCTCCAAGAGCAAGCACTCTGGTCAGATATAAGATCAAGATAGCTTTCATGCCATAATACGAAAACCTCTCGCAGAACTCGTTACCCACAATGTAGTAAATACTTGATGGAAAGCCAGTTTTACCCAGAAGGAACTTCTTCACCCGCCCCCATGCCTTCCCACTCAGTTTAGATTCGGCATCGTCGTTTTGTAGCGAGACATCAACGTTGTTTGGAAAGGAAGGACGAAAAATTTCCGAGCCAGTCCAACTCTTCACGCTGTCTCGACGCTGGACAGATGAAGTAGCGGTATTTTGAGTTTGGGCTGACATCGCTGACAATGAGAGGTCCACAACTACTTTCTTGAAAGAGCTGACCGGGGATGGCGGGAACCTTCCCTTGCTCCGGTTGGTCGTTTTGGTTGTGTGATTGCGTGACAGCGTCTGGCGTGACACTACCGCTGACCATTGTTTTAATTTTGGAAAAATAGGGGACAGTTCAGGGTGTCGGGAATGAATGTGTTGTGCAACACTTCGAAGTGTTCGTCACAAGAACCGGTAACCCGGCACACGCGGAAAAATGGCGGGCAGATTTATTCGAAGGGGACTAGATCATCTCAAAAGTAAAGAATTTAGAGAATATTTATGCAGGTATGTTTGATTTCTTCTCTATAAACAAGGGTACACAACTTGTGGGTTTTCCGAGGTACTAACTGGCTGTTTTCTGTTCTTTTTCAGCACGGTAAGTTATGACTAGTTACAGCATTTTCTGTTCGTCAGTGAATTCTATAAAAGTTTGACCTTGAATCCTTTCAAGTATTTCCGTAAGTAAACTAACATTATTTGTTTATTTCTACGCATCTGCCACAGCATTTTTGGGGACCGGGTAAGTGCTATTATTTTGTTTAATTAAAGGCGAATTGTGGTTGTCATTTTTCCCCTTGGATAATTTGATTGTGTAAGAATAGTTTTATTCGATCGAATGAAGCAATAACACGTTCTGATTTGTTCTGATCTGTTCCGATCTGTTCCGATCTGTTCTGATCTGTTTGTTTTTATTATAGAAGTCGCGTTTTGCGATGGATTTAATCGGAGGAGATTCAATCCTTGTTTGTGTTACGTTTATAGGTTCTGAATTATTTATTTCCAATCAGTGTTGCCACACGTAAAGAACATCAAACGGAAATACAGCAAAAATTTGCGTTGGTAGTCAAAAAATTTTACCTCAGGTACATTGAGACCGGATCGTAGACGACAATAAATCAACTCGGCGTTAAGTGCACGTGAACTTTGGCATTACTCGAAAGGGATTCGATCGATCGAATATTAGTTTCACGTGTACATTTATAATGATGGTCGGCTGGAGTTCGATCAGTCCAACAAGTTTCACGTGAACATTTGTCGTCTGGAATTTCAACGACATAGCTGTCTTGATATTAAGATACATATTCCATTCTTTTAGGTGCCTTTTTTCTTAAAGTATATCCATTATATTCGGTACCTTCTTTATTGTATTCCGTGCATTTTTTATTTATATCCGGTGCTTAATTATATGCGGTGCTTTTTTCATCGTCCGTGGTGCTTTCTTTGTGATCTTTGATGTGTGTTTCTTTTTCTGCACTGCTTTCTTTGATCATTGTGGTTGTCATAAATATTTCTTTGCTGCAGTTTTGCAATCTGTGAGCCTCGTTTTCTGTCAAACCAGAGAATCGAAAAACGAAAGCCTTAGCGAATGAGAATACAAGGAATGTCATGAGCTCGAGATTTCTATCTTGTGACAGTTGAAAATTGCACAGCCCGAGTCAACTCTCTCACATAGAAATCGAGAGCGAATCATCTAATTGTTTTAATATAAGTCTACTAGTCATTCAAAACGTTATCTGAAACCTCTTCACAGACACTTCGAAAACGCCAAGAAGCTTCCGTCAATTTGTTAACAAGGGCACACTGCTTAACGCTACTCACTACATGTATCTATCACAGAATAGATAGTGAGTAGCGTAGCCAATCACAGAATAGATAGTGGGTAGCGTAGCCAATCAGAGAACGGCATTTGTGATAGAATGCTAGTAGATTTATACTAAAAATAAATATATAATATGTATGTTATTCACTTGCTGGGAGGTCTATACAGGGAAAAAACCATGGCTAAGGTCCCGAGTAAGGTCCCAGACCTTGTGGCTTGAGGCCGCAAAAAAAAAAACCCTGCCTGCTCTGGGAACCAATCATATTGCAGAATATGTTGCATTCCACCTGCTCACACTGAGAAAAAAATAAAACATGATATTAACTGACCACAGTGAAACAAGAATAAATATGTCAAAGAACAGAATTTTTTAAACATGTCTGGCCGAGATCCCTGACTTTGATAAATTATACAGAAAAAGTCAGTGAGGAATGTCTGTCACCGTTCTTGGTCACTTAATGTTTTGGCACTTAGAGCTTCCACAGTGTAGCTTAAGTTAACAAAACAAGTTTTACAAAACATTGTCTTGAGTCTTGTACTATTGGAAAATTAAAGAGTGTGATCTTGATGTAGTGCAACTAAAAAAAAGCTGAGTTGGGCTTTCATTGCCGAAAGAGCACGTTAATAGTTGTTTTTTTCTTACTCTCTCTCACACAAACTAATAGTGTTAAATGCTCCTGGCATTTAGGGTTGGTCTACCCCTGCATTTTAGTCTTCAGTTAGAAGCACAAGAATCCATGAAATTACTGAAACTGGAGTCAAAATGCAGCTTTTGTTTGGACTCTTGGACTTTGAATTTTCCCATGTCCTTCCTGAGTCGTGAGAGAGGTTGCAATTTTTTTTTTTTAGTTGCCAATTGGGGACTACCCCTGGCTGCCATGTCCGACATGAAGAGGGATCCAGAGTATATTAGTGGCAGAATGACAACAGGTAGAGGAATGAGTGTCATCAAGTATTCTGATGATCTCATGAAATGGTTGAATCATTAATTGTATTATAATTATAACAGAACTAGAATATTATTTCAATCTGAAGATCTGGGAAATCTCTGGAAGTGATAAGAGTCCATATTATGTCACTCGATGTGTAATGATCAAGTTTGCTTGTGCCCTTTGATGATGTCATACCAAAAGGGTTAATGGGGTGGATCCAGGATTTTTCAAAGGAGGGTGACTGGTACCTTAGGCTTGCAGAATCAATGTGGCATACTCCCAAAATGATGCAAATTGAGAATTGGTATTCTAATTTTACCTGAGAAAATAATACTACCAAAATGGGGGTTGGCTAGCCACCTAATCCATTCCCGGGTATTTTTCCTGTTTTGATAATATTTCTCCCAATATGAAACTCAAAACAGACTCTGCCCAGTCAGGAAAAAGTGATACGTGTCATGCCCAGTAGTTTACCTTGATCTTCACTTGTCTGTTGTAAAGCTCTAGAAGGTTTATATACTGTTAGCTGCTTGAGAAAGTTTCTGATTAAGTTTTAATTTATTTACTGACAACTTGTTTACATCTTTAATTGAATTGGCTTCTGTTTCAACTAGAAACTGAAAAACAATGCAACAATAATTGTGAAAGCTAAAAAAAAAATACTGAAAAAAAAACTGGAATGCGGTCAGGGGCTGTCACAATTCAAACAGCAAGACACTTAATTACCACTGACAATAGAAAAAACCTCTTAGTTGAAGAATAAAGCTAAGCGAGTCTCATTTCCTCTGGTAGTTGTGACATTTTGATTTGCCATTTGAAACAAAAGCCGTCATAAGGTTGTCACAATTAAATCAAAAAAACTATGACAAATGGCAGTGATGTAGCCATGCATCTCTACTGTAAAAGCTAATCTTTCTTTCAGTGTATGTGGTTTACTTACTAAGTATTTTGTGTTGTTTTTCCAGCACTTTGTATTTACTCAGTGTTGTTCATGAGGTTTGCGTGGAAAGTTCAACCTAGGAATATGCTTCTGTTTGCTTGCCACTTTTCAAATGAAGTCTGTCAGCTTGTTCAACTAGGAAGATTTGTCAAATACAGGTACAGTATGCTGCATTTACAGTATAACTTTACCTCTCCCCATGGTATTGTTTACAGTTGAAGCTAATACATGTAGGTCAATATATATACATGAGATTTAACAAAAGGATCATGAAAAATAAATACAATCAAGGATTTGTACTGTGCATGCACTGGTTTCAAACAAGAATTTTGAAAACACAAGATATAATTCCGTGGAACTTCAATGCAACAAAGTGCCTTTAGTTTAAGAGATTAGCAAATACGTTCATTTTAACGGGGGTTTAGTACAATGACGTACCCATAGTTCCATCCCTAGACTCTGTGACATTTATTACAAACAATGGTTCCGAAGACAACTTGAATATTGTAAACTGCCACTTGTAAGTTGTGGGTCTGTACAACTTCAGTTTTGGATGGGCTTATATA